AAAAGTTGAAGTTACAAATGGCAAGACAGGAAGAGACCTCAGGACCTCAACTCCTGGGCAAGGTTCCCTCCTGCATGTGGCCGAGCAAAGATCACCCCCATCAACACCGCCCACCCCCCAGCCCGCCCCAGAAGTTTACAGCGTGGTCAGGGCTGCCCCTACCTCATCGATGCTGGGGTACGGGATATAGTCATCCTGCAAGACAAACCAGACAAGACCACCTTCAGTCCCACAGCACCCGTGAGTCTGTCGCTCTCCGCTTTCTCCCAGGGCTGGAGAGGGGTGTGCTGAGGGCCTAGCAGGCTGCCCCAGGGCTTTGGACACATCCTCAGGAAGAAGACCAAATGGACAGCAGCCTAGAGGCAGCTCTGGGTCTGGCTTCTCTTGCTTTTTCCCAATTATCATAACTTGAACACACCCCCACCAGCTGAAGATGCAGTGCACAAAGGCGCTGAATTACCCTCCCGAGTGGCACTAAGTTCTCTAATATATAATAGGAAGGCGACGTCTGATCCCACTAATCCCTGCTCCAGGCAAAGGGACTGATCTGCGTGATGCGCTGTACCCCTGGGCCTTGGAAAAGGAGACTGAATCTGAGCTCTGTCCCCCGCTGGAACCCAGAGCAGAGCCTGACACCACAGAGGCTGTGCGCAGTCCATGCCAGAGAAGAAGCAGAGGAGCCAAGCCAAGCTGCAAGCATTAGGTCTCACCAACGTCTGTACCCGGCCCTCGCTGGGGCTGCCCAAAAGGCATCACGCTGTCCGCCGTGCGCCAGCCAACGCGGGCAACCCCTCAGTTGACTCTTGGTGGCAATTAGAGTGAGACAGCCGAAGGCAGCAGAACCCAGCAAACCAGTGGCTTTACTGCCTTCCTCGGACTCAGTCCTGCTGGGCCCACCTGGCTGCCACACACCCACCCAGCCCACCTTATTCTTCTGGGGTCCTGGCTTCTGCTCTTCGAGCTTGATCCCCTGCAGAAACAAGGAAAAGAGGGTGCATGGAAAAGCAAAGGTCACAAAAAAGGAGCCCCACAGAGGCGTCTCCTGAGAGGAGGAAGAGGGAAGAGGCAGTTAGTACCAGAGGTTAGTAATAACAGCAGAAGCCGGCGTGCGCTGGGCCTTGCACGTTACACTCCTGGTCACAGTCAGTCCTTACAGCAGCCCCAGTGAGTCAAGAGCATGGACTTGAGCCAGATTTCAGGGTTTAAACCCAGCACTGTCTCTGACAATCCCAGGGACTGAGTCACAGAACTTCTCCACAGCGCCATCTTTACACGGGAGCTATAAGGGAACGGACCATGGCAGTAAAGCTTAAACACTGGTAGTGTGTCTGGAAGCGTCCCTGGAGTGGACCATGGAGAAGACAGCATCATCAGCCTCACACTGAAACATCTCCCCCAGGCTCTCAGAGCCAACAGGTGAGGGCTGAGGGTGGGGCCTGGGTCCATGTGGGGTCAGTCAGCACTCTGGAACCCCCACATACCACTGCGCCCATCCCTGCTGGGAAGGCCCCCAGGCGACAGCCAGGGGGCATGCACCCAGCCCTCCCTCCACCTCGTCTTACTATGGGTGACCCGTGACAAAGCGGAGCCTCTCGTGGCCTCCACAGCTCCATCTACAAGATGAGGAGCCTAACACTCACCCTCCCCTGCACAAATGTATCACCCTGAGGATCACGACTGGCCCTGACTCGAGGGGCCCACCAGCAGGTGTCTCGAAAATCCACTTGTGGGAGCTTCGGCTTTATCTAGTGGTCCTACATCAAGTTCTGACTTAGCTGAGTTTTGTGGAAGGGGAGTGCTTGGCATTCCCAAGATTGTCTGAATAAATCAAATGAGAGTGGGAGATGGCAGGACACACCATTAGAAACAGGTCTCCTTTGCAGAGCACAGAAGTGGACACAGGCCTATCGGGAGAGCACACACTGCGATCCTAACCTTAGCGCTGGTCTCCTCTCTCTTCTGAAGCCTTCAGCACCTTTTAACCCGTGAGTAAACTGAGCTGCTTGCTTGTGGGAGGCGGCTGCTTGCCTCAGTCCCACAGCTAGTGCGTGGCGAGGCTTGAATGGGAAACCAGCTGCCTGTCCGCCAAATGCAGGGCCCATGCCGTAGCCCTTGGGTCAGTCTCCCGCTCCCTGGGTGGATTTACTCCAAGGCTTCTCCAGACTTCTCTGGACTGAGTCAGCCTGTTGCTCTGTCCAGGAGGGCGTGGGAAGGCCGCTCCCACCAGACAGGTGCTCCTCTCCCCACACAGGGAGGAAACTGCCTGGGTGGCCCTGCACCCACTGTCCAGGGACGCAGGTGGGAAGAAAGAAGAGGTGATGTCAGGAGTTTGTTTTGTTTGTCCTCCCTTAGTCATCCCTACCTGGGAACAGCCCCTGGGGTGGAAGATCCTCCCTCCATCCTCTCCCAAGGACAGTGCTATTTCCCGGCACACCCCTCCTGTGCCTCTGCTTCAATGGGCGGTATTATTATTGTTGTTGTTGTTGTTGTTGTTGTTGTCATCATTATTAATATTATTATCATTATTATTAGTAGTATTAGCCTCCCTGCTGTTCCTGGAGGCTCAGAGAGGCCAAGCAGCTACTTGGATACTCAGCTAGGGAATGCCAGGGTTAGGACGTGAACCCAGGACCAAAGGGACCCAGAGCTTGTGCTCTTTGCCCCTGTGGCTTCTCAGGAAGTGTGTCCTTTGAATTCCCAGGCTCTTGGGCTGGAGGTCAGGAGTCCTGGAACCTAGTTCCAGAGCACCCGGACTCTACTGTCTGAGGCGCCGTCTCCGCAATGTAGAGAGAAGAAATGGCACCCAAGCTCAGGGACAGAATCTGGCCCCTTGCCCCTGCTTCGTCGCCACCAGTTCCCCATATGTACACTTCACAGAGTTGGAAACTGGGCCAGTGAGAACCTGGGACCAGCGGGCACATGGTGGGAACCGAAACACTGGGAAGTGTGGTCTTAGCTCCCAACAATCTCAGCGAAGATGGAATCAACAAACCACCCACAGGATCAGAAGACAAAGTGGGAGCACAAAATGAAGATTCTGGATATCCAGAGGCCACGCAGCCTCGAAACAACAGAGCAGTAGGAAGTCAGTTAACTGGGGCTGACTTATGTGCTGGGAGAAGCCCTATGCAAAGACAGGGGGTGCCAGCTGGGGTGAGCTAATGGTGGGTTACCGGAGCAGCCAGAGAGAAGGCATGGTGAAGACAGGCGCATGGCAAACCCCCACCGGCATCCATGGGCTGCAGGGGAAAATCCCAGCTTTCCTCCCAGCCTCAGAGACTAATTACACACTGCCTCCCACCACTCTCTGTCAAGGCACGTGCCATCTGTGTTTCCACAGCTTGACTGGAAATCCCCCAAATGCATGTGAAATTCGTAGTCCACGCTGCTGGGCACAGAGGGTGTGTACTGTGATAATGGCACGACCTCTGATGACAGTCTCCCTCAGGCCCTCCGTTTCCAACGGCTGATCGGCTACCTGGCTGTCCGGATCAGGACCACGCAAGCCAGCTGGCCCCTGCAGCGCTCCCAGCCACGCCACCTGCATCTCAGGACTGCAGTGGGCACGTCTGTGCCTCTCCTCCTACAGCTCCCAGAGCATTACTTAGAAGCTCCCAGCTTGAGGCCGCAGCATCCACTTAGGGTAAAAAGCTTCTTACTAGGGCAGCGCTGGCTCTGGGGGCTACTTACTAGTCATTAGTCCTTGAGAGCTTTATTTTAGCTCTGTGCCTCAGTTTACTCAGCTGTGAAATGGAGATGCTAGTCATTATCATCATCATCATCCCACTTCCTGTAAGAATTGCCAGGTAGAAATAAGATAACATCTGTCAGTCTCTGAGCCCAGCCAAGTACTTAAAATATCTGCGCTATTAGTAGCAGCTTCTTCCCGATCTTTTCACCTATATCAATAAGCCTCTGGATCTCTCCCCATACCGCCTAGGCCAGCAGTGAGCTCTGATCCCAGGGTGGAGTAGCTTTAAAGTAACGAAGCTCCAAATCCTCATTAAACACTGGTTTTTTATACGGTGCCCACCAAGTATTTACATGTTATTTTATCCCAGCAGCCATGTGAGTGGGTATTTTTATTCTGATGTATTTTTAGAGGTTGTGATATTCTGATGTACAATAAGAGATACAGATTCGGTCTTCATCTGGTTCCTGGCAGGAACTCCTAGAACCTTTGGAATTCCCTAAGGGACAAAGCGACGTGAGCATTCTTTTGTTGTGTTTGTCCTTCTGAAACAGCTCCAGAAACATAAAGGTGAAAGGAGTGTTTTGTTATTCATATATTTATGTTAATGAGCTTATGTTAATAAGGTGGCTTCTGGAAGGCCCCTAAGGAAGGGGGGAGCTGGTTGCCAGGGGAACCAACAAGGAAAAGAGGGTTGGAACTTGCAGCCCTACCTCCCAACCTCCAGGGAGAGGAGAGGGGTTGGAGGTTGGGAAACAACCAATGGTTTAATCAATCATGCCTAGGTAATGAAGCCTCCAAAATTAAAAAAAAAAAAAAGGGGTCTCCAAGTCTGAGCTTCTGGGGAGTGATGCTCAGAAAGCAGGGAGACTTAGGGCCTCTTCCCCACATCTCATCACAGGCATCTCTTCCATGCACTGCTCCTGAATTAAACCCTTTTATAATAAGTTGGTAATCACGTAAGTATATTACTTCCCTGAGCTCTGTGAACCACTCTAGCAAAATTAACTGCACCCAAAGAGGGAGTCATGGGAACCTCCAATATGTACCAGGCAGTCAGAAGCATAGTTGTGGTTTCACATCTGAATGACAGACCAGGATCCAGTCCTGGGGGGCAGAACCCTTAACCTGGGGGGCCTGACCTCTGGAAAGATGATGTCAGGATGGAATTAAGTTGTAGGACACCCTAGTGATGTCACAGAGGGGTCTGGCAGGGGAAAAACTACCAGTCACTCGGTGTTAGAGTGAGGCAACAGGCATGCTGTGATAGACAGAAAATGAGGGCGACAGGCTTAGAGAAGGAAAGGAGCTCGTTGGCACAAGTGTTAGATCTATTGCTATACCGCTCCACTTAGAAATCAAGCAGATGCAGGATTCGCAGTCAGGTCTGTATTCCACCTGGGCTCTGCCTCTCCCAAACACGATGACTCCCTAAGGAAGCGCTTTCCCTCCAACCTCCTTCCAGAGCAATGGACCCTCTCAAGTTCTCCCCATGTTCTAGGGTTTATGGCCTTCCCTCTGTGGACTGGGGGACTGTGTTTTTAATCTCCTGCCCACAGGCAGGAGCCTCCCCAGAACCCTTCTTTCGGTTCAGTGTGGAAATGACCTCACGTTGTCGGGTTATTGACATGTGAATTATCCTTCTCTGGCAGGCCCCCCAAAGTCCCCAAACTCTCCTCATGGATTCTGCATGGCATGTGTCCCCCAAGGTTACCGCTACAAATGCACATACACACCTCGTTCCCCCAAATTGAGGGTACTCACCTGCATTTTCTCCAACATCTCGAAGAACTCTGCCGACTGAAAGACATAAGAGGGTGGGGAGAGAAAGATGGGGGTTCAGGCAGGTCTACAGAGAAACTACACCCACTGTCTGGAAGCTTAGCCCAGGTCTCCCTGGGGACAAAATTCATTTGGATCAAGAGAGAAGATAATGTGGTTTTGCCTTTGCAGGGCTGGAGGGCCAGAACACCCACATAACTGAAGAAAAAAGCCACTCAGCCTCTGCAAAGAGAGAGGGCGGGGTGGTCCCTGGGAAAATCCAAGTTCTCCAAAAGCCTGTGAGCCCTGGGATTCAGCCTCCAGCAGAATGCGTCTTGGGGGTGTCATCAACCCAATAGTGGGGCCAAGGCACTCAACACAAGCAGTTTTCCAACTTTCCTGGCAACACAGCTCTTCCAACACTTAAAGCTCCAACACTTAAAACAGCAAAAGCAGTTGTGGGGCCTGCGCCCATGAGGCCTCTGCCTGTCCCTTCAGGCGCCACTTTGGGAATATCCGCTTGTGTGTCCCTAAGCCGCTGAAGGGCAGCCTCCAGAGGCATCAACAGACTATTTTTTAAACTTCAAACACATAAAATCCAATATTTTAGCCTACTTTAGTGCTACCTTTGTAAACTTCAGGTGAGGCAAAGAAGAGGAAAAAGGAAGCAGGTTAGAGGCTGTAAAGGGATAAAAACTTCACTCCAACAAAACCCATACAGAAGAAGGCCGCTCAGAAGTTTCCCCACTCCCCATCCCATGCCAATAGTTATAGTTTCCTATTGTCACCCCCATGCCCATATCTAGGGGCTGGTGAGCCATGAGTTAATGCGCCAAAGCTGTCCCCAGATGAATAGGGGACAAAAGCAAGCAGCAGAAAGAGGCCACTTTGTGCACAGGTGTAAAACGCTCTCCCTCCTCTGGAAGCAACAGGCCAGAACAGCCTGGAGCTCAGAATCCACAGAGGAGACGCTCCAGAGGAAGGGCCCTAGTGGTGTCACATGGGGAAACACCTCGCTTCAGACCCGAAGATGCCATGTGACCTCTCACAGGATGGAGCTGGGCTGTCAGACACAAAGTCTCAGGCCCACCAGCACTTCAGATTCCAAGGTCTGAAAACCCCACATGTGAATGTGCAGAATTAAGAACAAACTCCAGCCACCCGTGAGGAGCTCCCGCTCCCAAACCCATTCACCCACTGCCTCAGTGCATCCTCACCAACGCCAGGCTCCAGGAGATCAACACTACTAGATGTAAAGAATGCCTATGAATCAATAAAACAAGAAAAAAGTGAGCAGAAAGAGGAAAAGGAAGCAGACGCAAGCAATCATCATTTTAAACACAAAGACTTCTGACTCAGCAATTCCTCTTCCAGGAAACTACACTATAAATAGCCTTACACATGTACATAAAAACAGATACAATGTTCACTACAACACTGTTTATAACAGGAAAAAGTGGAAATACCGTGAAAGTCAAGTTACAGAAAAGTAGAGTAAGCTACATTCATAGACTAAAAGACAAGTAACATGAATGACCTCATGTCATTCATGTGTGTCAATAAAATATATAAGTTAGATGAAATGGACAATTCCTAGAAATATACAAACTATCAAAAATTACTCAGGAAGAGATAGAAAATCTAAAAAAAACCTATAGTAAATAGAAGTTGAATAAATAATAAAAAAAAAAACATAAAGAAAACCCCAAACTGAGATAGCTTCATCTGTGAATTCTAGTATTAAAGGATTAATACTAATTTCTCACAAACGCTTCCAAAAATACAACTTATACAAGTCTAGTACTATTATACAAATCTAGTACTACACTGATACTGAAAGCAAAGACACAACCAAAAAAAACAAAAAACAAAAAACCTAAACTATACATCAATATTATTTATTAAGATAGATGCAGAAATTCACAACAAAATGCTAGCAAACTAGTCACATGTGAAAAGAATTATAAATCATGACCAGGTGGGATTCATTCTAATAATGTAAGAATGATTTAATACCTGAAGGTCAATCAAGATAATACATAACATGAATCAAACAAAAACACAAAAACCACCGCATCATTTTAATAGACATATTTAGAAAAAACATTTGAAAAAGCCAAAACCCTTTCTTGATTGAAAAGTAAAACACTCAACAAATTAGGAATAGCTGGTAAAGGGCATCTACAAAAAACACACAGCTGATGTTACAGTTAATAATGAAAAATAGATAACTTTACCGATAAAATAAGGAGCAAACCAAGGATATCCCCTCTCTCCAAGCCTATTTAACATTGTATTACATTGTACTAGAGGTTCCAGCTGGAGCACTTTGACAAGAAAACTATTTTTAAAAAGAGGTATTCAAATTGGTAAAGAATTGATACTCACAAATGACATGCTCTTCTATGCTGTATCTTTACTTTAAAGCTCTTAGAACTCATATATAATAAATTATGGCTGCAAGGTTGCAACACTTCAGATCACTAGACAGAAATCAATTATATTCCTATGAACAATCTAAATGAACCAATGAACAATCTAAAAATAAAATTAAGAAGCAATTCTAATTAAAATAGCAACAAAAAGAATTATGTGTAAACTTAACAAAGGAAGTGTAAAGCTTATATTCTGAAAAATATGGAACATTGATAAAATACAGTAATCCTAAATAAATGAGAAGAAATCCGTGATCATGTTTGGAAGAGTCAATATGATTAAGATAGCTATACAATCTAAACTGACCTACAATTCCAGTGCATGGACTTCAAAATCCTAGCTGCCACTTTGCAAAAACTGTAAAAGCTGATCCTAAAGTTGATTTGAAAACACAGTGGATTCAGAATAGTTTAAACATTCCTGACAAAGAACAACATTGGAGTTGTTCTTGAAAACTGGAAACTCACACTTCCCAACTTCAAAACTTATTACAAAGCAAAAGCTGTGTGTGCAGACGAGGGAAAGACACATAGATCAATGGAATAGAATTTAGAGTCCAAAATAAATTCATATACCTATGGCAACAGATTTATCAACAGGAGTGTCAGCATTTGATGGAGTCACTTTCACAAATTGTGCTGGGAAAACTGAATAGCCACATGGAAAACAATGAGGTTGGATCTTTATCTCACACAGTATACAAAAATTAACTGAAACTGGATAGTAACCTAAATGTAAGACTACTGCTATAAAATTCTTAGAAGACCACACAGGTAAATCTTTGTGGCCTTGGATTTGGCAATGGTTTGTTAGATATGACACACAAACCACATTCAACAAAAGAAAACATCAATAAATTAGGCTTTGCCAAGTTTTAATTTTTGCTCTTCAATGGACACTATTATGGTTAAAAAAAAACAGAATAAGTGAAAATATTTGCAAATGATAGCTGATATCTGTCAAGGGACTTTTTTATCTAGACCATAAAAAAAAACTCTTACAAATCAGGCCCTCCCTGGTGGCACAGCAAGTTAAAGCACAGCACTGAGAAGCTAAAGCCACTTCCGCATGAGTTCGATTCCCGCCTGCCCCAGAGGTGACCACATGGTGGGGCAGACCTCTCCTGACCTGCCCGCTGCTCCCCTCAGCAGTGTACTTCATCCATCTGCCTGTTCTGTTCCCTGCTCTGTCTCTGGTGAAGCCTCTCGCCACCCCTGAGCCTCTGGCCTGTACCCCAGTTCTGTATGTACAAATAAATAAATCTTTAAAAAAAAAAAAAACTCTTACAAATTAGACAAAAAGGTATATAACTTCATTTAATGAGCAAATGACCGAATAGACATTTTTCCAAAGAAGACATCCAAACAGACAATAAGCATTGCAAAGTTTCTCAATATCATTAGTTGCTGAGAAATGTAAATCAAAACCACAGTGAGAGACCACTTCACACTGACTAGGATGGCCTTACTCAAAAAAACAAATAGTAGCAAGTGTTGGCAAGACATGTAGAAATCTGGAACCTACTTCCCACTGCTAGTGGGAATGGAAATGTTACTGCCCAGGTGGAAAATAATCCGGTGGTTCCTCAAAAAGTTAAAGAGTTACCACTTCACCTAGCAATTCCACGGTGGGGTATATGCTTCAAGGAAATAAAAACATATGTCCACACAAAATCTCATATGCCAGTGCTCACAGAAAGAGTCACAATATCCAAAGACTGGACACAGGGCAAACATCTATTAACTCAAGGAAATTATGGTTACTTTGGTGGTAGGGACATTGCTGTAACATAGGTCTAAGGAGGTAAGAACCTATTATCCTAAGTCATATGCACTGTTGTAAACTAATGATACCTAAATGAAAAAAATAAAAATAAAACAACATACTATGTTAAAAATATATATATGGCATATCATACAATGGAATAATACTCGACCATAAAAACATAAAAATGGACTTAAATACTGATAAATGCAATATGGATAAATCTTGACAATTTATGGTAATTGAAAGATGTCAGATGCAAACAACCACATAGTATGATTTCATTTATATAAAATGTCCAGAATAGGCAAATCTAAAGAGATAAAAAGTAGATTTGTGGTTGTGTAATAGGAGGTTAGGAAAGGGATAGACAAAGTATACAGAGTTTTGGGTGTGGTTTTTTTTTCAGGCAGTGAAAATGTTGTAAAATTGGTTGTGGTGATGGTTACACAATTCTATGAATATACATTGAATGTGCTCCTTGAAATGGATGACTTAATGGTACATGAATTATATCCCAATAAAATAATTTCAAAAAAATACTGTGCAGTCATTCAATAAGAAAGCAACTGATTTATATTGCCTACATAAAACAATCTCCAAGATATATTAAGCATGGGGAGAGGAAAATAAAGATCAGCACAAAGAATATGATCTCATTATTTAAAAAGATTTATTTATTCATGCAGACAGAACTAGGGTACAGGCCAGAGGTGTGGGGGCTGAGAGGATTCACCAGAGACAGAGAGGGGAGCAGAATAGGCAGACTGACAAACTACACTGCTGAGGGGAGAAGACAGGAGAGATCTGCTGTGCCATGTCAGTGAGCTCCCTGGCTG